CCTACAGCAGCTGCAGCTGGAGGAGGAGGCTGCTGAAGCAAAGGGGGAAGGTACGACGGCAAGTACTGCTGAGCAGCCCCAACTGGCCCGCTCTACGGGGTTGGGGACACGAGGGACCTTGATGGCGGGAAGCTCGACTCCTACGGCTCCACCGACTGGGGGTACATCGTCCCAACTGGCCCGCTCTACGGGGTTGGGACCACGAGCGACGAGGGAAGCAAGCATTTCGACACCCTCGACGCCGTCTACTGGGAGCACGCCGCCCCAACTGGCCCGCTCTACGGGGTTGGGGCCAAGAGCGTCAGGGAGTGCGAGCAGTTCTACTTCGATGTCGCCGACTACTGAGCAGCCCCAACTGGCCCGCTCTACGGGGTTGGGGACACGAGGGACCCTGATGGCGGGAAGCTCGACACCGATGGCTCCACCGACTGGGGGTACATCGTCCCAACTGGCCCGCTCAACGGGGTTGGGACCACGAGCGACGAGGGAAGCAAGCAGCTCGACACCCCCGACGCCGTCTACTGGGAGTACGCCGCCCCAACTGGCCCGCTCTACGGGGTCGGGGCCAAGAGCGACAGGAAGTGCGAGCAGTTCTACTTCGATGACACTGTCTACCGGTTGTTCTTGGATGTCAGAACGCTCCAGGGCCCCGCAAGGGAGCCCTGAATCGCCGTCGCCACCTGGACGACCCGCGCCCTGGGCACTCCAGCCACAGGAGGAGGGATCTCCAGCGCGCGGCGCGGGCGGACAGGAAGCTTGCTGGATTCGCGATAGCAATGGCAGCACAGACAGCGGTAACTTCCCCCTGCGTGGCGAGGGGTTAGGCCACAGTGGGCAGGAGCGGACGAGGACTGAGCTAGGTGAGCCCCTCGACTCCCCCATCACTCTGATCGAGCCAGGTGGGCCCTCCGCGACGTCGAGGTCTGAGCTAGGTGAGCCCCTTGACCGAACAGGAGCTGATCAGAGCGAAGCATCGGAAGAAGCAGAACTGATAGCTGAAGTTTTCCGACGAGCAGCCCGTCATGCTGCCCTGGCCTGGCGGGACACTCGAGCACAAGTACGAACATGGGCCAAGAAGGCAACGGACAATGCGATGAAAGGAGCACATCGTTATCTGAGTTCCGAGGAGCGAATCGACACGAGTGATGGATGCCTGGACCCAGACACCAGGAAGTGGGAGATGGACCCGCAGAAAGGAATTCAACTTCGACGACGGCAGTGGGAACGGCGATGGACGGCCCACAAGGAGTTTGCCACGGAGGAGCTCCCGCAAGCCATGCGCGACCTGAAGAGCAAGGCACTGGAGGCGCTCGCCGAAAGGCCCTTCCTCACGCGTGAGTGCCTAGACATGGCGCTGAGCAGCTTCCAGGCGGGAACTGGGCTAGGTGCAGACCAATGGGCGCCAGACCAGTTGCGAGCGCTCAGCCCGTCGTGCAAGGAATCGTTCCTCCTCATCTTGAACATGTGCGAGAGGCAGTTGACTTGGCCACATCAGATAATGCAGATATGGCACGCCCTACCACCAGAGGGGGACAAACAAATAGCGGGGGAAGAGCGGCCCATAGGGCTGATGCCGATGACGATGAGAGTCTGGGGTAAGATGACCAAACATCGGTTAACTGAGTGGTGTGATCGAAAAGCGGGGTTCTGGGACGCGGCAGTCAGGAAGAGCGCGGCGTTGCAGTCGGCACTGCTAACACTTGTTTTGGATGAAACACGGGCCAATCTAGACGAAGCCAGCCGAGCTACGTTCTCCCAGGACTTAGAGAAGTTCTACGATTTGGTAGACTTAAGTATATTAGCAGTACGTGCTGCGCAGGTCGAGTACCCCCCAGTAGAGCTGTACATGTGCATCATGTCGTACCTCTGCCCTAGGCTAGTCAAGGCTAATAAGATCTACAGTGACTTGATCGTTCCTGACAATGGGATGGTACCAGGATGCGGGAAAGCTAATCACGGAGCGCGAGCACTACTCTATCATGTGCTAGAAGAAGTACATCTAGCCGTCCCGATAGCGAGGTTGCGACAGTTCGTGGACGACATCACCGTGAGGGTCGAGGGCCCTGATGACGTGGTAGGTGCAGCGGTGTCGAAAGCAGCGAGCGTCCTGGTTGGAGGCTGCCCCAAGGCGAGGCTCAGGATCTCCGACAAGTCAACCATCCTTGCCCAGAACCCCCAGGACGCCCTGGAGGTGGAGAGGTCCCTGGCCGAGTTTAATGTTTCCATCAAGAAAGGCGAGGAGATGAAGGACCTGGGGACCGACAACACCATGGGAATACGTAGATCCAGAAAAACGGCAACAAGAAGGAGTAGACTCGGCAAAATTCGGGCCACCAGGGCCGGTTTATTCGCCAGTTTGGGACGGGCCCGACGTAAGAAAAGCAAGCTCCTCTTTAATGCTAACGTGCGGGCTAAGATGTCCTACGATAGCCCTCTCTTCGGCCTCCCCCCGACCGAAATCCGAAAGCGGAGAGCTCTGGCCGCGGACCTTGCTGGTTTTGGAAAGAAAGGCCGCTGCACCGCGATGATCATGCTGCTGATGTATGGGGAGGGGGACCCTTGGGCTGCGTGCGTGAAGCGCCAGGCCAAAGAGTGGCTCATTTTCTGGGCCAACAACCCCACTCTCAGGCAGCAGGTTCGGAGGGGGTGGACGGCCACTAAGTTTAAGCTTGCTAGGTTGAAGCCCCGATCCCGATGGCGAGCAGTAACGGGGCCTATGGGGGCCTTGTTGCTCACCCTTCGGTCCCTGGGATGGGTCGGGGTTGAGCCTGACGTTTGGGAGGACCCCGACGGTGCTCAGTGGCGCTTCAACCCCGACCTGTCCGAGGATGTGACTGAAATTTGTGACGCCCTGGCCCAGTCAGTTCAGAAGCAGTTGTGGAAGCAAGCCTCCTTGCACAGTGAAGGAGCCTGCCTCAAGGACGGGGGGGACCTCACCATGTTGCAAATTAATGTCAAGCGCATGCATAAGAAAGATATGTACCAGGAAGCTGGCGCCCTGGAGGGGATAGCGTGTGCCACAATTTGGAATGGAGACCGCCAGAAGCGAGCTGGCTATCAGACAGACGGCTTGTGCACCAGGTGTGATCTAGGGGCCCCAGATACCACGCGTCATGGGACTTACGAGTGTCCCAGCCTGGCCCAGTTGGAGCACCCTTGGATTGCCAGAACGGGACACTTGTGCGAGCGAGCGATCCGCGACCGCGATCGAGGGGTTAATGAATCGCTTTGGCTCCGAGGGATCGTTCCCCTGTCATGGAATCCTGTGCCTCCCCCACCAGAGTGGGGGGATGTGAATGCCTGGCGTGTTAGAGCTGTTGACACCCCACCACCCGCCATCGGTCCCAATGGAGAAGTGACGCCAGCCCGAAGGCTGGAGGCGAGGTTTGGCTTTTTGGATGGTTCTGGCACGTCGTCGGACCCGCGTGTGGCGCGTGTAGGGCGGGGCGTCTATCTCCAGATGGGACTGCATGGCCCTCCCGCCCCTGGAGCCTCGGACCCTTCCCCTCCCCTCCCTGGGTGGTATGGGGGAGTCGACGGCCGCCAGACCGTCCCAGCAGCAGAGCTCGCAGCCTTGTGGTGGTGTTTGGAGCTCACGACTGGGGATATAAGTATATATACTGATAACCAGGCAGTCTTTGATGGGTGGCACGGGGGTAAGCTTGACGACCCCAGCGGTGTGCTCAGGGGGTGGTGGCAGAGAGTCAGCGCCGCTGCCCAATCCCGCCCTGGGGTAGTCACCCTCCGCAAGTGTTTTTCCCACCTCGATACCCATTCCCACCTCTTGTCCTCCCAGCCTCCCTCCGTCTCCCGTGGGAATGAGTTGGCCGACGCCTACGCCCAGAGAGGGGCTGAGGAGGCGAGTTCGGCCATCAGAAGAAAAATCAAGGCCTTAGGCGTCGCGGACGCCTGCGCGACCCTCGCCCAGCAGCGCCTGGCCGCTGTGACCAGGGAGCTCGCGTCGCAGGACCGCGAGCAGTGTGCACGGACTCCCGAGGGGGGAGGGGGGGTTGCTTCCAGGCGGGTTGTCGAGCTCGAGCGTGTGTCGGGCCACAATCTGGGGCGGCTGCCCAATGGGGCGTGGCTGTGTCGTCGGTGCCGTCTGGGGCCGCCTCCTGGGTCGTCGCTTGTGGACTGGCTCGGGCTCGAAGATAACCGCTGTAAGGGGGACCCCACCCATCGGCACTTGAGCGAGAATGATAATGTTGTGCTTGTGCCCCGCCCTGTGACCACGGAGTTGAGGACGGCCAACAGGCATGTCCACCCCTCCCATTGCGTGGCCATGCGTAACGGGCAAGTGTGGTGTTGGAAATGCGCCAGTCTGGGCACCGTGGTGAACGGGGGGGGCCGTCTCTTGCTCTTGGCGAAGCCGTGCCGTGAATGGACCACCCCCTCGGGAGATAATTATCTTAGCAGATTGCGCAAAGGGCTCCCACCAAAGGGCAACAAGTGGCCCAATGATAAGGGAGCGGGGCGCCTCCGAGTTGAGGCAGAGTCGAGTGTAATCACGTCATTTTTGAAACCCAAGTCTCGGAGATAGAGTGCTATCGAGAGCCGCCCCCCGAGGGGGGGGTGTAATTGTCCAGCTGTGGCTTCGCTGCTGACTGGCACTCTTCAGCATTCTCCCAGCATTCTCCTCCTCCTCCTCCTCCTCCTCCTCCTTCTCAGCATTATCATCCTAGAGGCCTCCTAGATGGAGTCCGAGTAGATGGAGTCGGAGGATCGCGCCGCATCGCCGATACATCGGCAAGACATCGTCGATGCATCGGCGATGAATAGGCGATGCATAAGCGATGCAACGGCGATGCATCGTCGACGTCGGCGATGCATCGGCGATGCATCGACGTCGGCGATGCATCGTCTGAAGCAAATAGGGCTCCACACCGAGCCGCGTCGGCGATGTATCGGCGATGCGGCGCGATCCTCCGGCCCCATCTACTCCGATTACATCTAGGAGGCCTAGATCTCAATTGTCTATCATCCTTCCTCCCGATGTGAGCCGAGCGTGGGCTGCCAGTCCACTGCATCTTCGCCGCATAGGCCGTCGAGGGCGTCTCGATCGTCGAACTGCGGGGCGGGGCCGGGGCTGGGGAAGAGGTGAAGGGGGGAGGAGAGGGGAGGAGCGGAAGGGGGGAGGGAGAAGAGGAGGAAGAGGAGGCGGAGGAGAAAGGAGGAAGAGAAGAAATGAGGAGGACGAGAACGAGGACTGCCACTGAAGCTCAAGTCGGGTTTCTAGGCGCAGCCGCCTCTGCCGCGATGGTCGTCGATGCGCGGCTGGGCTTCGTCCTTGCAAGGAGGAGTCAGGCACACGTGCTGTTTACCTCCCAAAAGTGGCCTCCGACATCCTGAAGATGAAGATTAACTATCATCCGGGAGACAGGACAGCCTCCATCTTTTGCTTGTTCGCAGCCTCTGGTGCAGCATGTGTGCAGCCTTTGCGCAGATGGTGGTATAAATGCCGTGTCGTTGACAGTGGCCCGAAACATAGCAATGCGTCGGTGGAAGCCTGCATCGAGGAGGTCGTTCCACAAGGTGTTGGCGTTCGCATCTCAACTTCGTCGCGGCGCCTCTGCCAACGGTGGGATTCCTGCGACTCCTTCAGAGAGGGGACTGGTGGTTATGAAGGCGAAGCCGCTCTCACCGTCTGTGAAGTCAGGCCCGCGCCTGCTGGGCATCCAGTCGAGAAGCCGCACAAGGATGGACACTGTCGTGCAGATCGCCATGGGCCCTCCGCCTCAGTGTTGTGGATGCCACGACAATGGACACCCTAACAGTCCGATTATCGAATTAAAAATGTATTTTAAAAATGTGTTTTACATGCGTGCTTTAAACAGTTCAAACACAATGTTCTAGACATCTGGAAATGATTTGGCAACATGCTTCCTCTCCATTGATCGCCCTTCACAACCCCAGTGCAGCCTGTCGCAACCCATAGCGACGACGGCCGTGCTCGCGCTCGTCCTAGACCAGCTAGTGCTGTTATGGTTGGACGAGGCCTGCGAGGCACCTCGTCGGCCGCGGCCCTGGCACGGGGGCAGCCCAGCAGTGTTGGGCACACTCTCGGCGATCGCGTCCAGTTCGCAGGACGCGAGCACGAGTCCATGCTCCTGAGCAAGCCCCTCGACCTGTTCAAACGGTGCTGCGTCGAGAAGGCAATCAGGCTACGGTGTGTGGCAATAGTGTCATAAGAAAGGCGCACCCCGAACATTGAGAAAATCCCGCAACGCGCCCCGCTGCGGGCCGCGTTGCGGGATTTTCTCAATGCTGGAGCCATGCGGCGCATGGCTTCAGCATCGTCGTGCCCTTATTAGGCGAGCAGCACGGGACTTGGTGCCACGAAGCGATTCATGCCATTCACTGCTTCGGCGGGGAAGGTGATCCCATTCGTGGAGGTGAAGGGCAAACTACTGCCAAAGCGTGTTGCCATTGGCCTCATCAAGAAAGGGGAGAATAAACGACAATCGCAGAGTGCAGAAACAACAACGCAGGGGACGGGAAAAAGACAGGGGAAGCGACAGAACGAAGAGACAAGACGAAAAGAGGCATGACAACAGGAAACGCAAGGACGGCAACATGAGGTTGCCACTTGCCTGGCCTGCCCAGGAATCACAGCCAGCTGGAAGCACGGGAACTCGGTGCACGCTCAGACCAGCAACCGTTCATCAAGCATACAGGAGAACTCGGAAATGGACCGCTGCGTCATTCTTCTAACCTCGGACAGGAAAATGCGGCAATCCACGGTAGCACACCATGCAGCAGAACCGCTAAGAATGATGATGATGGCGATGATGGTTATGATGATGATGATGATGATGATGATGATGATGATGATGATGATGATGATGATGATGGTGGTGATAATGCTGATGATGCTGATGATGCTGATGATGATGGTGGTGATGATGATGGGGGTAAGTATGATGGCGATGATGATGATGCCAAGTGTGCCTGTGCGAGTGAGTGAGCGAGTCAGAAATTATGATGATGAGTGAGGGTGATCATGGTGATGGTAATTGTAAGTGTGAAAGGAGGACAGGAGGACAGAGGGTGTGAGTGATTGATGGTGATGGGGATGGTGACAATGATCCTGGCGTGCGTGCGTGGAGGGGGGTCTTGTTCCTGTGCAGGGCGCACAGAGACAACAAAGGATGCGAAGGAAAAAACACACCGTGGACAACCGGGCGGCATCGGAAGACGACTGCGAGGACAACAAACGACGACGACGACGACGACGACGACGAGACCGACACGACGACGACGACGACGACGACGACGAGACCGACACGACGACGACGACGACGACGACGACGACGACGACGAGACCGACACGACGACGACGACGACGACGACGACGACGCCAGCGGCCGCAGCCGCTCGCGCGGGGGAGGCGCGACGGGGCGCCCGCCCCGCGCCGCGCCGCGCCCCGGCGCGGAGCTCGGGCAGAGGCGAGGGCGAGGACGAGGACGAGGACGAAGCCAGGACGAAGCCAGGACGAGGACGAGGACGAGGACGAGGAGGAGGACGAGGCCAGGACGAAGCCAGGACGAGGACGAGGAGGAGGACGAGGAGGAGGACGAAGCCAGGACGAGGACGAGGACGAGGACGAGGACGAGGACGAAGCCAGGACGAAGCCAGGACGAGGACGAGGACGAGGACGAGGACGAGGACAGGACAAGACGAAGCCAGGACGAGAACCAGGATGGGCCCAGGGGCCCTGTATCTCCCATATGTTTTTCTGCATGTTCGTCTTTCCCGCCTCTTCCCATATTTTGCAGACGCCCCTGGAAATCGACGGTTCTTTGTGCATTTTTGCTTTTTACCCTCCGAAAGATTCGGGTGAGGATCGATGAGAGCCTCTGGGGCCCCGCGGCTCTGGAGGATATATCGGGCGCAGACCGTCCCGGAACGCTCCAAGAGCGTTCCCGAACTGTGGAACCGAAGTTAGCCTCGTCCTAGCCCATTCCGGCACAGGGTGGCACAAGGGGCCGACTAGACCCTGTACAGCAGAAGTCCGACTTCCAGGGAAGGAATGGGCATGTGGAACCTGGGGTAAAACGAAATACCCCCAAGGAACGCCACGAAAGTCATTGAACAATAAATTCTCAGCATCGGGATCGTCACAGGGAGGAGGAGTAGGACGAGGACGAGGAGGAGGAGGAGGAGGAGGAGGAGGAGAAGGAGGAGGAGGAGGGCGGCGAAGAGGCGGGGCCCGGCGGGATCGCCGAGTCGAGAAGCATCGCAGCGCCTGGGGAGCAGGAGAGGGGGGGGGGTCCTCCCGGATGGGGACGTCCAGCCCGAGGCCCTGGAGCTCCGCGAGCAAGGGCTCGCTCGGGGCGTCGCCGTCCGCGGCCTCTCGAACGGGGGGGCGAGGCACGGCGGGGCGGCGCGGGCACCGTTTCGCCCCCCCACCACCGGGGCCCAGGGGGGGCGCCAGTAGTCCTCCGTTCCAACCCCGTTACTCCTCCTCCTCCTCCTCCTCCTCCTCCTCCTCATCCTCCTCCCCTCCTCCTCCTCCTCCATCCTCCTCCTCCTCCTCCTCCTCCCCCTCCTCCTCCTCCTTTTCCCTCTCTTCCTCCTCCACCTCCTACTCCTCCACTCCTCT